TGCTTGTCCCCAAGAGCAGGCTGCAGCTGGTGTGGGTGGCTTCGGTCCCCGGGGGGAGTGAGGTTATTTAGGGGGTGGGGGCCAGGGAGACTGAGAGGCCCCTTGGTGGGGACAGGAAGCAGGGCCGCCCCAGCTGCCTTCTCCCGTTGGCCCACCTGGCACGGTGGGCGCCCAGGGTCACCGCACAGGAAGTGTCCCCAACGCCCGGCTTGTGTGAGCCACTGAGTCTCGGGGCCTGGAGGGGAGGCAGCCGGCAGAGAGTGGGCGGGGCCTGCTGCCGGGCTGCGGGGAAGGTCGGCCTCGTACTGAGTGGCGGGGAGCTTGTCATCCCGGTCACTGGGGAGGATGAGGCAGGAGGGTCAGTAGTGTGAGACCAGCCTGGGGAATTGAGTCACCTTGTCTCAAAATGGAATTTAAGGGCCGGGGATGTAGCTCAGCAGCGCTGGGCCTGCCTGGCAAGCGCGAGGCCCTGGGTTGAATTCCAGGTACCAAAAAAGAAAAGAAATTTAAACTAGGTGTGGTGGTGCACGCCTGAGGCAGGAGGATCTACACAAATTAAGAGGCCAGCCTGCACTACGTAGTGAAACCCTGTCTCAAAAAACAAAAACAGAGGGCTGGGAACTTGGCTCCGGGGTTCGATGCCTGGCTTGCAAGGGCCCGCGTTCCATCCCCAGTACCAAAAGCAAAAACAACAGAGGGGTCAGGGATTTAGCTTAGAGGTACCACGCCTGCCTCCCAAGCCCAAGGTCCTGAGTTTGATCCCTGGTACCAAACAAACAAACAAGACAGACAAAAGAAATGTTAAAAATGGCACTGGGAAGCCAGGGATTTAGCTCAGTGGTTCCGCTGGCTGCCTTGTGTGAACCAGAAAAAAAGGCGTAAAAACAGGGCTGGAAGGTAGCTCAACGGTACAGCCCATGCCAAGTGTACCCAAGACCTTGGGTGCAACACCCCCACCCTGTTACTGCAAAAAATACTAAGCCGCTGGTGGTTGGTACTAAGGTTAGGGTTGGTGGTAAGGTTAGGGGGTTAATCCTCACCCGGAGAGTCAGAGAGGTCTTTGTTTTCTCAACTGCTAAAAGGAAGTGAGGCCGGGCATAACGGCCCACTTGTAATCCTAGCACTGGGGGGAGGCCGAGGCAGGAGGATTGCCACCAGGAGTTCAAGGCCAGCCTGGGTCTTGAACAGTGAGTTCTCACACTGCTCAGCAGGAGCCTGTCTCACAACAAAAACAAAGACAAATTTATCTCTATTTTGCAAACTAGAAAGGGACCGAGTGGGAGAGGGGAGGGGCAGAAAAGAAAATACGATGTTTTCTGTCCACGTTCCAACTCCCCATGAGGAACACAATTAAGTAGTGCAAACATGCACAATAAAGATTTTAAAAATTAGAAAAAGGAAAATAACTTGCAAAACATGACACAACTAATAATGGACTCATTCATCGAAAGTTGTATTTCTTCTGATCCCTGATACTCGGGGGGAAAAAAAGTGTTTTTTGCCAGGTATGGGTGGCCCACGCGGGTCACCCTAGCACTCTGGGAGGATGAAGTAGCTAGACGGCAAATTCCAGACCAACCTGGGCAAATTAGTGACTCAACCAGACCCTGTCTCAAAATTAAAAATTAAAAAAGGGGTGGGGGTGGGGTTTAGAGTAAAGGCCGGGGGCTCAGGGCCCAGTAGCAGTAAACAAAAACCAAAACATTAAGATTTCTTGTGTTGTAGCCCAACTCAAGGTCAGCCTTCCTGGGTTGCTGCCCTGGAAAGTGCAAATCAGGATGCAAGGTCCTTACCCTGCTAGTCTCTGGAGTCCTCCCAACCCTGGGAATATTTAAGGGCCCAGACAGGAAATGAAGTCAGTTTCTCTTTTATCCACCCTGTGGAACTCAGTCACATGGCCCCAACTTCCTGCAGTGCATGCTGGGAATTGTATTCCAACCATGTCTCCTCCCACAGGCAGTTAAAAAACAGGCAGTCTATGCCCACGTTATTTTGTTGTTCTCTTTCTTTCTTCTTATTAATTAATTCATTAATTTATTTCTGAGACAGGGTCTCACTATGTAGCCCAGGCTGGCCTTGAACTCAGGGTGATTCTGAAACCCTCAGCCTCTGTTCCACCTCCAGAGAAAGACGCTTCATGACTTTGTAAAGATCAATGCTCCGGCTGCAGTAAATGCCTGAGAGTTAGCGTTTCTGACTTGGGCACATGGAGCCGTCAGCAGGACATGGGTGTCTGTGGAAGTGAACCTGGTGAGTCACCCACATTTCAGGGCCTGGTGGAGGAATCAAGCAGAGCGGAGAATGAGGGGGGCCCTGCCTGGTGTAACTGGAAGGCTTCTTGGAAGAGATGCTGTGGCTTTGAAGAGACCACAAGTCAAATCCAAAATCAACAGTGGTACTGATAGAAATAAGATAAACCCGGGCATGGTGGCACGAGCCTGTCATCCCAGCCCTTGGGAGGCTGAGGCAGGAGGATCCTCCCATGTTCGAGGCCAGCCTGAGCTAAATAGTGAGAACCAGTGCCAACTCTCCACCACCTCCAAAAACAACAGCAAGAACGATGACGCAACACAGGCTGAAAGGTTGTGAGAGACACAGCAGTCACATGGTCTGGGATACCCTTCCATAGATTACTTGTGGGTTACAGAAGAAACAGGCAACTTCATGAGGACATCTCCTTAACCTCCCTTAACTGAATGCTCAGAGTTCACACCTTCAGGGGCTGTGAGACACGGCCCCCACATTGTGTGGCTTTTTGGTTTGTTTTTGAGACAGGCTCTGGCTTTGTAGTACAGGCTGGCCTTGAGCTCACCGAAATCCTCCTGCCTCAGCCTCCCCAGTGCTGGGAGGATCCTGCCCAGCTGGAGCCAGAATCTGACCTTGAGACTAAAATCAGATTCTGGGAGAACTGGAGACACCTGGGGGAGGGGATCGCTCAGCTGTGAGTGCTTAATTTAGTGCCCAGGAGAATGAGGCTTGGATCCCCAGCACCACACAACAAAAGCGAGGTGGGGGGAGAGCCAGCCGGCACAGTAGCAAAAGCTTGTCATCCCAGTACTCTGGGAGGCTGAGGCAGGAGGATCACAAGTTCTAGCCCGGCCTGGCCAACTCAGCTCATCTCAAAATAAAAAGTAAAAAGGGCTGGGGATGGAACCCAGTGTGAGGCCCTGGGTTCCATCCCCACAGCCGCAAAAATAGTGACAACAACAAAAGCTACAAACTGTTGGGTCACCCTAGCACTCTGGGAGGATGAAGTAGCTAGACGGCAAATTCCAGACCAACCTGGGCAAATTAGTGACTCAACCAGACCCTGTCTCAAAATTAAAAATTAAAAAAGGGGTGGGGGTGGGGTTTAGAGTAAAGGCCGGGGGCTCAGGGCCCAGTAGCAGTAAACAAAAACCAAAACATTAAGATTTCTTGTGTTGTAGCCCAACTCAAGGTCAGCCTTCCTGGGTTGCTGCCCTGGAAAGTGCAAATCAGGATGCAAGGTCCTTACCCTGCTAGTCTCTGGAGTCCTCCCAACCCTGGGAATATTTAAGGGCCCAGACAGGAAATGAAGTCAGTTTCTCTTTTATCCACCCTGTGGAACTCAGTCACATGGCCCCAACTTCCTGCAGTGCATGCTGGGAATTGTATTCCAACCATGTCTCCTCCCACAGGCAGTTAAAAAACAGGCAGTCTATGCCCACGTTATTTTGTTGTTCTCTTTCTTTCTTCTTATTAATTAATTCATTAATTTATTTCTGAGACAGGGTCTCACTATGTAGCCCAGGCTGGCCTTGAACTCAGGGTGATTCTGAAACCCTCAGCCTCTGTTCCACCTCCAGAGAAAGACGCTTCATGACTTTGTAAAGATCAATGCTCCGGCTGCAGTAAATGCCTGAGAGTTAGCGTTTCTGACTTGGGCACATGGAGCCGTCAGCAGGACATGGGTGTCTGTGGAAGTGAACCTGGTGAGTCACCCACATTTCAGGGCCTGGTGGAGGAATCAAGCAGAGCGGAGAATGAGGGGGGCCCTGCCTGGTGTAACTGGAAGGCTTCTTGGAAGAGATGCTGTGGCTTTGAAGAGACCACAAGTCAAATCCAAAATCAACAGTGGTACTGATAGAAATAAGATAAACCCGGGCATGGTGGCACGAGCCTGTCATCCCAGCCCTTGGGAGGCTGAGGCAGGAGGATCCTCCCATGTTCGAGGCCAGCCTGAGCTAAATAGTGAGAACCAGTGCCAACTCTCCACCACCTCCAAAAACAACAGCAAGAACGATGACGCAACACAGGCTGAAAGGTTGTGAGAGACACAGCAGTCACATGGTCTGGGATACCCTTCCATAGATTACTTGTGGGTTACAGAAGAAACAGGCAACTTCATGAGGACATCTCCTTAACCTCCCTTAACTGAATGCTCAGAGTTCACACCTTCAGGGGCTGTGAGACACGGCCCCCACATTGTGTGGCTTTTTGGTTTGTTTTTGAGACAGGCTCTGGCTTTGTAGTACAGGCTGGCCTTGAGCTCACCGAAATCCTCCTGCCTCAGCCTCCCCAGTGCTGGGAGGATCCTGCCCAGCTGGAGCCAGAATCTGACCTTGAGACTAAAATCAGATTCTGGGAGAACTGGAGACACCTGGGGGAGGGGATCGCTCAGCTGTGAGTGCTTAATTTAGTGCCCAGGAGAATGAGGCTTGGATCCCCAGCACCACACAACAAAAGCGAGGTGGGGGGAGAGCCAGCCGGCACAGTAGCAAAAGCTTGTCATCCCAGTACTCTGGGAGGCTGAGGCAGGAGGATCACAAGTTCTAGCCCGGCCTGGCCAACTCAGCTCATCTCAAAATAAAAAGTAAAAAGGGCTGGGGATGGAACCCAGTGTGAGGCCCTGGGTTCCATCCCCACAGCCGCAAAAATAGTGACAACAACAAAAGCTACAAACTGTGTTGCTCCTGGCACCCAGGCCCACGGACGTGTTGCCCTTTGAGACACAGACTTCCCACGGAGTGAGATAGCGCATTTAATTTACTGTCCCGGAGTCTGTCCGCTTACTCCCCGAGGTCCCGGCTCGGGCTCACACTCCCGGCCGAGTCCGCGGGGCTGCGGGTGACGACGATGGGCACCCTGGCCTTGACGCTGGTCAGCGACCAGGGCAGCGGCACGGTGACCACCAGCTCGTAGCGCGTGTGCATGAGCTCCTGCTGCGGGACGCTGCCACTCACGGCCAGCAGCAGCGGGAGGCTGAAGGCGCTGACGACGTTGGTGGTGGTGAAGGCGGCGATGTGCGCGCTGGCCTCCTGTCGCAGCAGCTGGCTGCTGTCCGTGCGGCAGCGGCGCTCGGCGCTGGGCGTGAAGGCCTCGTACTGCACATGCGCGTGGAGCGCCGAGACCACCGACCGGATGCACTTGCCGGTCTGGTTGTGGATCTCCGTGGTGAACGCCACCTTCTCCCCCGGCGTGAAGGTGTTCTTGTCCATGTGCACCGCCAGGCCCACGGTGCCCCTGCTGCAGCAGTTGTAGGAGACCCTCTTCTCGACCCGCACCAGCAGAGGCTTCTGGAGGGGGAAGAATGGGGTGGGACTATGTAGTTCAGCCTGGACTCCAACTGGCGAGATCCTCTTGCCTCAGCCTCCTGAGCGCTGCAATACCAGCCGCCACACTTACCTTGGATCTCACATCTTTCCCTGACGAACAAGCGGCGTGGCATATTTTATCCATTTGTGGTTCTGGGCAGCCAGTCTAATGTTGAAACTGCCAATATCCTACAGGGGGCTGTGTTACTATGCTAGAATGCTTGGTAGGTTGGGAGTGGTAATGCAGTTTAGACTTAACGATACTTTCAGTTCATGGTGGGTTTATCAAAACAACTCTACTATAAATAAACAGCTCTATATAGCTTCATGTTGAGGTTTTTATTTTATTCTTAGGTGCTGGGGATCAAACCCAGGGCTTCTCCCCTATTAGCTGAGTACTCTACTGCTGAGGTTCACTCCCAGGCCTTTTTATTTTATTTTGTGGAAGGGTTGCCCAGGCTGGCCTAGATCTCAGGATCTTCCTGCTTCAGCCTCCCAAGTAGCTGGAATGACAGGCATATGCTACTGTGCCTGGCTGTAATATTTTATTCTACTTATTTTACCATTTAGTATCTAAAAAAAGAAACAAGTTAAAAACAAAAACAAAAAACAAGTTTGAAGCTGGGTGTGGTGGCACACACCTGTCACTACAGCATTCTGGGAGGCTGAGGCAGGAGGATTGAAAATTTGAACCTAGCTTGGGCAACCTAGTGACTCAGAAAGACCCTGTCTCGAAATTTAAAAAAAAAAAATGGGTTTGATGTAGCATACAGCAAACAAAAACTAAACACCCCAAACCATGCTCGCATCCTGCCAAATTGATTCATACAAAAGAGATCTAGATCAGAAAAAGCACTCTGTGGCTGACCCCTGACCCCTGACCCCTGACTTTTCGATCTCACTTTTCACCCTCATCCTCTGACCCATGCCTCTCTCCAGCTTTCCCACTGGCCAGCCCGCTCCTCCTCCCTGAAAGCCTAGCCGCCTGCAGGCAGGCAATTCTGCCCAGTCCATCCAGTCTAACTGCAAATGCTTGCATGCTGCAGGACCCTGAGGGCTTAGGGTTCCAGTGCCCTAACTACAGGCACAGCCTGTCTTCTGTCCAAATCCTAAACCAGGTACCCAGAGCCTTCTGTGGCGGCCCACTCTTGTCATCCCAGCACTCAGGAGGCTGAAGCAGGAGGATTGCTGCAAGTTCAAGGCCAGCCTGGGCTACATAGAGAGACCCTGTCTCAAAAAAAAAAAAAAAAAAAAAGGAGGTACCCAGAACCACCTACGTGGCCCAACAGAGAGACCCCACACCCTGCCGGAGAGAGGCTTCCCCGGTACCCTGATTCCCAAGAATGTTGGGGCATCAAGGTCAATGTTGGAGGCTGGGGGATCCCATATTACTTTGACACATAGGAAGCCTTCAGGGGCCCATTCACTTGACCTGTTTTATTGGCATTTACTTGGAACCCATATTAGTAGAGCCCAGCCAGCTCTAGCTCCGCTGGGGAAGACGGACAATAAAAACAGCAGTTCTGGGGCGCGGATGTAGCTCAGTGGTACAGCGCCTGCCTGGCAAGTGTGAGGTCCTGAGTTCAATCCACGGTACCAAAACAAAACAAACAACAACAAAAACCCAACAAAAAATGATAGGTCTGAGCCAGGTGAGGTAGTGCATGCTTGTCATCCCAGCACTCTGGGAGGCTGAGGCAGGAGGATCACAAGTTCCAGCCCGGCACGGGCAACTCAGTGACTGAGTGAGTCCCCTGTCTCAGGTTAAAAAGTAGGGGCTGGGGATGCAGCTCAGTGGCACTGCACCGGCCTCGCAAGCCCAAGGTCCTGAGTTCGATCCCTGGTACGGAAAAAAGAAAAGTAAAAAGGGCTGGGGATGGAGCTCAGCACAAAGGCCCTGGGTTCCATTGCCAGTACCGAAAGAAGAAAAAAAGGCCTTCTTTGATCAATCTGGTTAAAACAGTGGTTGGTGCTCTGCCCCAGGGCCTGCCTTGGTCCCTCTGTTTCCCGTGGGGTCCAGAGAGGGGATGTGACCTGCTGAAGGCCACCGAGGACAGTGCCAAGCCAGGAACTTGGAAGGCTGATCTCGGGGCGTCATTCCTCCACCAGCCACGCATCCAGCGGTGTCCCCTGAAGCTGGTGAGCCCAGGAAGGACCTTTGGACCTGGAGGGACAGCAGCAGCTTGTTGGGCAAGAACTAACAACGGTGAGGGCTCTGTCCAAGGCCCAGCACTTACGTGAAGTCCATTCACTGGTCTTTTATTTAAGGGGATGTGTACTGGGGATGGGACCCAGGGCCTTCACACTGAGATGCATTCACAGCCTTTTTATTTTTCATTTTGACACAGGGTCTTGGTAAATTGCTAAATTGCTCGAGCTAGGCTGGAACTCAAGATCCTCCTGCCTCAGCCTCCTAGAGACCGCTGGGCTTCCAGGTGTGCCCTCTGAATGACCTTGGAGAAGGTCACACAGCAGGGAAATTTTAATCTGGATCTTAGGAGACAAAACACCAACCCTCTGCCTTTGTCATCCTAATGTCCTGAGGACAAATGACTCCCTGGGGCGTTGAGTGGCCTTGGTCAGTGCCATCCCCCCACACTTCCCCTTCTGGGTGTGGCTTCAGGAAGGGACATAGAAGGACACAGAACTGTTTCTGTCTTGCTTCTCCTGGGCCGGAGGTCACCTTCACTGTCTGAGGCTTGGAGGCCCAGAAACCACAGGATCTGTGAGAGGCTCTTGGCTTTTACTTCCCGAGGGGTCCTGGACACTGGGACACAGGGCTGGGCGTGCTCGGAGGGGCATCCCGACACTGCAGGCTGCTGAGGAGCATCCCGGCCTCCACCTGCTCCACGCCAGCAGCTCCCCCAGCATGACAGCCACAGGTGTCCCCACGAAAGACCCAGTGTCCCCGCAGAGGCTGGACCGTCTGTCTCTCCTTCCTCTTTTCCTTCCGAGGCCCCTAGTGACTTCGAGGCTCACTCCGCGCCCCACTGGGTAGGGACCACTGTCCCTGGACTGTCTGTACCATGCCACTGGTCCCTCCTCGGGGTTGTGACCAGGCACATAATGTCAGTCCCCAGACATTGCCCAGTGTGCCCTGAGGCGGGCAAAGTCCCGAGTTCCGCCCAGGTTTCTGCTCAGCTTTTGTGAAATCTCAGGGCCTGGGCAGCCGCCAGTGCCCATCTCCACCTGGGCCTTCTCTGTCCCCGGGCTGCGCACCTGCCCCCTTCCTCCCAGAGCCCCGAGGACGCACCCACCGCTGTGCCTTCCCCGTGTACCTGCAGCGCGTTTTCCTGGTGGAAATCTGAAGTCCCTTGAACCAACAAATACACCCTTTTCCTCGCAAGGATGTGCTCCCGGCCCATGCAGGAGGCTTGGATAAAATAGAAGATGTGCCCTGTTTTGCTGGCAAAGGTGGACGGCAGCCTGGGAGGTAAGCTGAAATGGAAGTCAAAGGTGTGGCTGCCTGCGCCTAACCAATTATCTGAAAGCAAAACGCAGAGAAGCCATCAGAAGGTTCTAGAATTGTTTCTTCTGTCTTTGTGTGAGTGTATGTTGTGCTGGGATTAAATATAAAGCCTTTGCACTGATCTACATGCCTAGTCCTTTTTTTTTTTTTTTTTTGTACTGGGGACTGAACTCAGGACCTTGAGGTTTTGAAGCAGGCAACAGAACCCCTGAGCTAAATCCAGACAGGGTCTTGCTAATTTGCTAAATTGCCTAGGCTGGACTCAAATTTGAGATCCTCCTGCCTCAGCCTCCCAAGTAAGTACTGGGATTACAGGCATGTACCATCACACTTGGCTTCTGGGGGACTATTTTGAATATCAGTTCTGGTCGGCTTCTTGTGTCTTTTTGTTGTTGTTGTTTTTGGTGCCAGGGATTGAATTTAGGACCTTGTGCTTGAGAGGAAGGCATGGTGCCACTGAGCTAAATTCCCAACCCTGTGTCTTGTTATTTTTGGGTCACATGAATGGGATAATCATTGTTTTACATAGCTTCTCCTTGGGCAAGAACAGTCTTCTATTTTTTGTTTGTCTGTCTGTTTGTTTGTTTGAGACAGGGTCTCACTATGTAGTTGAGACTGACCTGGAACTTGCTATGTAGCCCAGGCTGGTCTTGAACTCACAGCGATCTTCCTGCCTCAGCCTCCCAAGTGCTGGGATTACAGGCGTGCACCACCTTGCCCGGCTATCTATTTCTTATAGCCCCTGGAGGTTTATTGATCGATTCTCAGTGTCTCCCTTCCAGACCCAGTTCTTTTGATGGCTATGGTCGGCTGCCAGCCTCTTCCTTACCCTCCACTGGGAATGTCTTTGTCTTATGGACGTAGTCTGCTTTGTTGTTACAAATAACATCTCTGCTGTAATCGCGGGTCTGCCCAGTCTCTTCATTCCACTCGACGTAACCCCTTCCTACAAGCTCCACTTTTACTATGGGATCCACCAGGGTGCTGTACAGCGTTAGAATCACCTGTCCGTCTATGCTGGAGCCGGCCAGGTAGACTGCGTCCTTGGGCAGCGCTAACTCGATGGACTTCACCAGAGACATGGGGGGTGGGGGGTGGAGAACCATCCTCCCCCGTGCCAGAAAGAGTCTTGGTTCCCGGGCTGTAGTGACATCACCCCTCTGTGACATCACTGCCCAGAGTTCTGGGGAAGGAGGGGCAGAGGCTGCTGGGATGACAATTCCGTGATTTATTTTGTTTGGTTTCATGAGACAGGATCTAGGTATGTGGCTCAGGCTGGTCTCAGACTCACAGCAATCTTCCTGCCTCAGCTTCCTGAGGGCTGGCATGAAAGGCATGTGCCTGCTTTTGCAGTGTGAAGTATAGAACCCAGACCTCCTATATGCTAAGCCATGGAGCCATGCTGCAGCCCTTTTCTGTATCTTATTTTGAATCAGGGTCTTGTGACCCTCTTACCTCAGCCACCAAAATAGCTGAGATGAAAGGTATGTGGCACTATACCCAGATTTTTTTTTTTTTTTTGGATCCCAGGGATCGAACTCAGGACCTTGCACTTGAGAGGCAGGTGGTGGAACCACTGAGCTAAATCCCTGGCCCTCTCACTGGTTCTTTTTTTTTCTTCCTTGAGACAAGGTCGCACTATGTAGTTGAGACTGCCCTGGAACTCACTACATAGCCCAGGCTGGTCTCGAACTCACAGCGATCCTCCTGCCTCAGCCTCCCCAGTGCACCAGGCGTGCACCACCGTGCAACCGGGTTCCTCATGGTAGCTTGGCTACTTTTTCCTAGGAAGTCAAAACAAGCCAAACAAAGCTAAGACTCCAACATTCCTGCCATATAGGGAATGCCTGTCACCAGGCCAGCGATTTGGTGGCCTGATTGGGAAGACTGTTAACCACCCTGGTGCAGTAAGCACCAGCAGCTCCCTTAGCAGATGAAGAGAGCTAAGTGTAATGGCACATACCTGTCCCCTCAGCACTCTGGGAGGCTGAGGCAGGAGGATTGCAAGTTCTAGCCTGGTCCAGGCAATTTAGTGACTTACTGAGACCCTCTCTCAAAAAAGAAAGAAAGGAAAAAAGAAAAAGCTGGGGAAGCAGGTCAATGAGAAGGGTCTAGTAAGTTCCCAGCACCGTGCCACAAATAAAATGAAATAACCCAAAGGAGGCCCAGAGCCTGGGTTCAAAGTTCTGTTCTATCTTATCCAATACCCCCATCCCAGTGGACTGCACGCATCTCAGGGTTGAGATCATATCCAGATCATCATTTTCATGCTTGTGGCTCTACATTTACACCAGTCTATGTCAGAAGATAGATACGGCCAGATGGCCACTTGTGAAATTCAGTGTGAAATGAAGATTATCAGAGCATTGTGTGCTCAACCTGAACAACTGTACTATGCTGACCATCACGAAGCTCCTGCACCTCTGATGCTTCTCTTTAGGGCTATCCTCCCCCTCCCCCACTGGAAGGTCCCTCTGGGGTGATACTGGACCTCAGTGAACTTCATGCCCACCACTGTCTGTCTGACCTAGACAAGGTCATAGAGAGGGGTTTTCATTAAGTCTGTTGAGTGAGTATATTGTTTTTATAAAACAGTATCTCACTGGGGCTACATCCAGTGGGCATGACACTGAAGCAGAAAGGGTAGTAGACGATACCCACTGACCACACTGACAGACCTTTGTTATCTTTGGTGTATCTTGCTTGGTGTGACAGTTTTTGTGCTCACTGACATCTTGTCTCCCTAGTTTTTTTCCCTAATCTCTCTTTCTGTCATTCTTTTTGTACAGGGGAATCAAATCCAGGACCTTCACACTGAGCTACATTCTCAACTCTTAAAAAATTGTTTTCAGGGCTGGGGACTTAGCTCAGTGGTTCCGTCACCTGCTTTGCAAGCTCAAGGACCCGAGTTCGATCCCTGGTACCAAAAAACACTTTTTTTTTTTTCTTTTTTTGGAGACAGGATCTTAGGGGCCAGGGATTTAGCTCAGTGGTTCGGCTGCCTGCCTCGAAAGCGTGAGGTCCTGAGTTAAATCCCAGGTATGAATGAAATAAAATAAATAAAAGAGACAGGATCTTAGTAAGTCACTAAATTGCCTGCGCTGGGCTCAAACTTGAGATCCTCCTTCCTCGGCCTCCCAGAGTGCTGGGATGACAGGCATTGGCCCTCCATCCGGTTTAACTTAAGGTGTCTGAATCCCTCAGAGCTGCAGCCTGTACCAGGGGTACTTGAAAACTGACCACATTTCTTTCAGCCACATTGAGCATTTCCAACTATGGCCTTTACTGCTGGAAGTGGCTGGGTCCTTTGGAAATCCTGCCTGCCTCACAAAGCTCTGTGGGTTTAGCCGGGCGTGGTGGTGCACGCCTGTCATCCCAGCACCTGGGAGGCTGAGGCAGGAGGATCGCTGTGAGTTCGAGATCAGCCTGGGCTACATAGTGAGCTCCAGGTCAGTCTCAACTACGTAGTGAGACCCCGTCTCAAAAAAACAAAAACAAAAACAAAAGGCTCTGTGGGCTTCTTCTCGTCGGCACCATCCGTGGTGTGGCAGACACCTGGCTACTGGCTGAGGGTCTAGAACTGTGTTCTGGTCCCGATGCCAGAGACGGTTAGCAGCAACATCCAGGTTTCAGGTATTACAGCGCATGAACGTCCAGTGGCTGCCATAACAAATGACCATCGACTTTGTGGCTTGAAACAGCATAAATGTGTTTTTACCTTACACTTCCAGAAGCCAGAAGTGCCACATGAACGTTTGGGGCTAAAACCAAGGTGGTGTTGGCAGGGCTGCATTCTTGGGGAGAGTCTGTCCCGTTCCCTTTCCAGCTTCCGGAGTCTACCTGTGAGCCTTGTCTCATGGCCAGTTCCTTTTTTGTTTTGAGACAGGGTCTTGCTACACAGTTCAGTCTGGCCTTGCATTTACTATGTAGCCCAAGCTGGCCTAGCGATCCTCCTGCCTCAGCCTCCCAAGTGCAGGGATTACAGCTGTGCACCACCGCAACCAGCATGGCCTCCTCCTTCTAACTTCTGCTTTCTTTGTCCCGACCCCTTCTTGGACTCACCTTCAACTTCCTACCTCTCTCTTCTACTCCCTGGGACCCTGGCAATGGCATCAGGCCTGCCTGAACTACCCAGGTTCTGGGGTCATCTCCCCATTTCAAAATTCCTAACTACACTGCGCCTGCTGACTCCCTTCCCTGTGGAAGGCAACCAACTTCACGGAGTCTGGGGATGAGGGAGTGGACGTCTTCCTGCCTGCTATGGGGAAAGAGCAGAAACGCTTCCTGCCAGACTGGAGCTCAGCACCGGCCCAGAGAAACTCTGCAAAAACAGAAGATGAAACTGAACAACTTTCCACTCACAGCCCTCAAGGCTGCTTCCTGCTCTCAAGAGAAAGACCAAAGTCCTTCCCTGGGCCTTGGAGGTCTTCGTGTCGCCCTCTGACTCAGCCCCTCCCCGTCCCCTGCCTGGCTCCTTGGCCTCCTTCAGGCTCCTGCATCCCCAAGCCTTGTCCCCTTCTAGGGCCCATGTGTCCCTGGCAGTGTTGTCTCAGATCTCAGCTCCAACGTCATCTCGGTCCCCAAAGAGGGCCACTGGCTGGACTGTCTTCTCTCCCTGGCTCCAAGGGTGCTCTCGTGCCTTCATGGCCAGTAGCGCCATAGACAGAAATTACCTGCTTTATTCACCGCCTGTCTACATCCCCAGACAAGACGTCACCCTGCCCTAGACCACCAACCGGGGTTATGTCTTGGTCGCTGTTGGACTCCCCTGGCTCTGAGCACCCCGTCCAGCTAAGGTGCCCGGGACAGGTCACTCCTGTGCCCGCCCAGATTGGTCAGGAGGGAGCAGGCTGCGCGGAGGGGGCAGGGCAGCCCTGCCCGCCTGGACAGCTCGGAGAAGGCGGGAAAACGAGGCGGGAAAACCCAGCCAACAGGCCCTACGGGTGGGTGGAGAGCACTGGCGGGCCCTGACGCCAGGCCATGGGGATGGGGAGGATCAGGCCAGCTATCGGGGTGCACACTGTCTGGTGGGGTCTCTCGCCTTTTTCAGTAGTGGACATTGATTCTGGCCTGGCCAGTGGGTGCCCAGGGGAGGGGGCTGCGGGAATGGACTTAGGATAAGGTCAGGGGTCTCCACCCTGGGAGGTTCCTGTGCTGGGGGTTCCCCTAGGGGTACTGTGGGATGTGTATGGTGGGGCGCCCAGGTCGCGCCACCCAGCCCCTGGCACGCTGGGCGCGCCCAGCAGAGCCAAGGAGTAGGGCGGGGCCGAGGACAGCTGGGCGGAGTTCGGGGGTGGTGGACCGAGGGGGAGGGGGGAGCCCCCCACCCTCTTTCTCGGTTCCCGCCACTGCAGCGGCCAATCAGGAGGTAGGCGTCCGCCCGCGGCACGGCCTCCCGCTGGCCCCGCAACTCCCCAACGCCGAGTTTTCGCGGGAAAAAAATCAGAGCAGCTGGTAGCTAGGCGGACGGTGTTGATCGAGAGCGCGCTCCGGATCGCACGCAGGTCCGCGCGGGAGACCGGGCCACGCACGCGGCGCCACCGCAGTCCCTAGCTGGGGAAGCTAGTGCGTTGGATCGCGGCGGCCGGAGAGGTGAGCGGCGAGGCCGATTACGGTGCCAGTCGGAGCTGGACTCACCGGGTGCGGGGACTTGGCAAAACTTTGCCGCGTGGCCCGGGACGCCCGATCATCTGGGGTGCACGCGTGCCCAGGAGCTGGGTGCTGCTTTGCACTTGAGCTCGAGATCTAAAGCCTGTGTCTTGGATCACACAGCTCGGGCGGGGGCGAGAGCCACGCCGCTGCAGCCGGGCCGGGGTCGCGCGAGCCAGGTGGGGGAGGGCCCGGAGAGCCGCGGGGGTGCTTAAGAAGTCATGCCAGTAACTGCAAAGATCAGCCCAGCCTACAAGTAACAGCAATCAGTTTGTACAACCTTTGTACACAGGATAATCTCACGCTAATCTCTCATACGTCAGGGAAGATGCTACATTCACTCCTCAGGCAGAAAGGCTTCAATCAAATTCATGTTCCATGTCAGCTCTAT